GGGTTTAGGGTTTAGGGGGGGCATTGAGATAGGTAGGATTCTATAGAGAAAGTGGACATCATGATGCTAATATATGGTTGGCAGGATGAAACCCAGTATCCGCGTACCTCGAGGCTGCAATTTACAGCATGCAGCAAGAAAAGAGCCAGCGTAAGGGAAACAAACCTTTCCGCCGTGATGCACTGGCAAGTCCATCGCGTCGGATTACTTTATTGGCTCTCGCAGCTGTTGTGGCTTGGCCTTCGGTCATCTTCCGTCATCTTCGGTCGTTCGGAAGGTTCGAGGGTTGTCAGGATTCTTGGAGTTCAGGGCTTGATGCCCGAAGGTGACAGTTCGCGTTCGGGGGCTCCAGCATAACTAAAGGCACCTAGGCTTACCTGACGCTCGCAATTGCAGAATTCCTAGCGGCAGTGCAGGCATGCTGCACCCATCGGCAACGACATTTCCGCTGCCACAATCGCTCCAGGCCAGCAACGACATGCTAATTGCCCCTAAACGGCCGACATCCGGCAAGTGTGGTCCCATGCTGATATTCTACCCGCCGTTTCTGTTTAGTTTGCACCGTCTTCTTCGCGTAATGATTTTTTCCGCCAGTCCAAGTTTCTCATCAGGCAGATCTCGAAGGCATCGAGAGGCCGGTGCTGCATGCCTCCTCCACTCCTGGCGCAGCCTTATATTACACGTATAAATACAAATATGTATAAATATAAATATNNATATATATATATATAAACCTCTCGATATTCAGTCCGAGTCCAACGCAAGTGCCGACCCTCACCTGCTCTTACGGTCTGATTCCACAGCTTTGAGCCGAGAATCGCTGGCCAAACTTGTTGCTCGAGACTCAAGTCACTGCAGGCATAAGACGTTTTTTGAGTGTAGATCGTGAAAAGCTTGTACCTTCCGAGCCTCAGGTCAGGTGGTTTTCGCTGATCTAGACCTCCATTTACCGCCTTACTGTAGCATTTCGGAGCACCAAGTCCAGCCAGGCTGGCTGCTTTGAGTTACCACAGCGATTGTGCCCCTCAGTGCCGAAACAGCCAGAAAGATGTGTTGACGTGCCGGCTAACAGCCCATGGAAGCAGCTCTTCCTGGATATGTCACAAAGTTTGCGCCGATACTGGACAAGCTGGAGGACGCCATGGAAGCGGTGCATAGCGGTGCCAGTAGGACAGAAAGCCCAAGCGAATGGCTGCCCTCCCGGTGGGTCTCTTACGAACATGCTTCTTTATTAGTCATGCTTCTTTGCGGCGTTGACTGTTATTCGTCAGCCCTAAGGGTCATGTCAAATGTCCTGGCGACATGTCCTGTGGAGGCATGAAGTGCTGTAGACACGTACTGGACACGCTTGCCGGGTGATCCACGACTTCTTGCCGTTCATGCTTTCAGTGTGGCTTCGCAGGAAGATGCCATGGTGGCCGTTGTTACCATGACTGGCTCCTGCTGTCCCATCACGACTGCTCACTGCAATGCGTCGCCTTGGCTGCAGAATTCTGCAGATTGGGTACAGGAGTGGCGGTACCGAATATTCCCTTGTGGACTGTCCTGTCAATTCAGCATCTCGCAAGGTGCCGGCAATTGAGTGCAAGATCCATAGAAGTCAAACGAGTCTCAGCACGATGACCCTTGAAACAAGAACAAACGAGTTCTGTGAGAGCCGTCGGTGTTGCAATTTCAACTGAGGTTCGACACAGCCAGGAATGCCCTTCTATGTGTGGAGGTGCCACCTGGGGACGTGGGTCATCCGCGAACCTTGTCCCAAAACACAAGCCCAGTGGCATACAGTGGCTACCCGAAACATATCTCCAGCAACACCCATGTGAACTCGGTTCAAGGCCTACTTGGAGTCGGTCGCCGCCTCGAACTGCGAAACGTAATCCGAAATACACACTTCGTCATGCACACCAGCCAACCCAAACACCCGCATCGTGGGCTTTAAACTTTAAACCCAACGGCGCCTCTCTTCTGATTGGCACCTCGAGATCGTGCGGTGACTGATGCCGAAGTTGTAACGTTGCTTGAAAACAGGATCCCTTGGAATGTGCCAGAGCCATGCGGGCATGTCAGGGCTATCCGCAGCAGCCGAAGCTGGAGAAGTTCAGCGAGGTACTGGCATTGCTGTCCCTGATTCACGGCACAATTTCGAGCATGTATGTTTTCGTGCCAGGTGCTCGTACAGTGATTTCCTCGAGTGCCACTGCAAAAGTCTTGTTTCTGTAAATGTGTTAACTCTGTGTCGTTCGTTTTTGGAGCTGTTTGTAAAGGTGGGATGGGTTACGGGGAGTGGGAGTGAGCATCGGTTTTGAGTTCTTGTGACGGAAGTCTCGTGTGGCATTTGCTGACACATGGCGCTGGTCTTAACTAATGGCGTTTAAATGTTGCAGTGTGTCCTCAGCGGATTAACTCCTGTGTGCCCTCCTGGATCCTCGCGTGAGGGTGAAAACTGGCTTGTGGTTGGTTTGAGTTTGCGAAGGGAGCTGCCTCGGTCGTGTCACTGATGCGAAACCAGCCTGCACCAGCGGCAACAAGCGCACATTGACGCAAGCAGAATTCGTACAATTGTTAATATGTTTACAAAAGCCAGCTTTGTGATAATTTACGACTACTCCCATCTTTTCGAACTTCGCGACGGATCTGAACTTCGTGCATTCACGAGATCTGCCTGAGACTAACTATGGCTGCGAGGAACAGCGACAGGCACGTGGACGAAAAGATGTTGCGCCAAAACGAGAAGTCGGTTTCTTACGCAGATCGTGCAGATCTCGTCAGGCTTGCAACTTTGCTGCAGGATGGCAGCTACTTGCAGACATCCCGAGGGCCCGCACTACATCATTTGAGATCCCAGGTTGTATACGAGGTTAACAGAAAGCCCATGCTGTAGACTCTAAACATGTGCACATGGACTGCTTCAATCAGGCATCCGCCGAGGTGCCCTGGATGGATTTCAATCCTGGCAGAGAGGCTCATGCCGCTCGGCGAACAGAGAACCTTTCCAAACACTTCGAAGGTAGAAAGAAGAGAGGCTTGGGTCGGTAACCGATCAGTGTGGTTGTAGTGGCATGAGTAGGTCATGCGTGGATCGGCGACCACAGGGCAGATGTGCAGCACTTGCTTACAGCCACTGAGCAGGTCATTGGACGCCTCCAAGCCGTTTGGCCTCACCTGCAGTTCGTGAGGCCGCTGCAAACACAGTCAGTGGGGGTCTGTTGAGTTGTTCGGTACAAGGTCAGAAATCGGACCTAGTACCGTTGTCAAGTCTGGAGACTCTTCAAATGCTGCTGCAAACGCAATCTGCAGCTTGTCTTGCATCACTTGTGTCTTGGAGCAGGTTTCTTTTAAACGGCGCCGACGACGTCGTCAAGTACCAGAAGTGTCTCGATGGTTGACATGGAGATTTCACTAGACTATAGCATCTCGACGATTTCAGTGCCATCAGAAAGGCCAAGTTTCACCGACTCACCAACCCTCCAAGTCGCCCCGAGAAACGGTTTCCACAGAGTTCACGTCGTGTTGAGGTGGCAGTTGGCGAGTCCCGAAAAACGGTACATCACCATCGGCCGCCCGGGCTTCACGGAGAAGGCGAGCGGAGACCATGAGGATGGCGTGACAGTGCCGACTTGCTCGGCTCCAATATTGAATAGATCTAGACAACAGGATGGATCGACGGATGGAGAGAGAGAGAGAGGGGGGGGAGGTGTGCAGTATTACGCTGTAGCCTGAGACGATCTTATCATTGTCTCGTTTCGTTTTGTGCTCGGGTGAAGGTCGAGCATGGAGCTCGTCGTGACGGCGTGGCTCTGGATCAAGGTGCCCCGCCTCAATGCTGACCTAAGCTCCGAGCTTCCATCCCAATGATCATGCCGTAAGTCTTTAAGTAAGACGGTGTACCTGTGATTCTGGGACTTCGTCATGAGCTCAGAGAGCTTTTGAAAGGTTTCTTCATCCTGGTCCCTGGCGGATCGGAGGCCGGTCGGAGTACCAAGCCCTCTAAAGGCTGTGCCGAAACAACCAAGCTTGTTGAAGGTGTCCGACGTGAGTTCGACCCTTGTCCGAGACCTCCTTCGGAAAGGGGATCGTAACTTGGCTGATGATGAAGGGGGCTGGACACAGTCCCACGACGAGCTGCCGACAGATGTCTCAGGCGGTTTGGTTCGTTTACATGGGAGTTTACGAAATAGGGGACCCGAATATAGTACNNGTACCCTAATTGGTAGGATCCTTATTGTAACGAAACTCCCACATAGAGGATCCTATGTAAATTGTGTGATGGGTTGCTTTTGGATTGGCTGGGCCCCGGGCTTGATTGAATTGGCCACCGGCGAAGAGCCTAAAGCACCAAACAAGGTCAAGGCCTTGATCGCCTTCTGCATCCCGATGCTACAGAGATGCACTGCGTATCGACTGTATGCACGGCAGAGGCTGTTTAAAGTAGAGGCTACAGCAAAGTAGTCACAAGAGCACGGCAAAGCGCCAAGGTTGCAGATTGGCTCCTGCGGAGTGGGATTTACGGTCCCTCTGTGATGCCTGCAGCTGAAAAAGCCGGATCTGTGAAGCAGTGAGGTGCAAGGGATTGCAAGAGCCAGTTAGGTAGGAGTCGACCGCCATTTGCAAAGAACAGCCGGCTCATGATTCTTCAAAGTTAAGCAGCTATAGCGAGTGGATCTTTGACATCATCCTTTCTCAGATTTCCTCCCTCATTCCCCACACTTCTCGCTTGCTGTAATTTTCGCCAGACCGAATTTATGTCTTTTCGAGAGATGTCATTGCCTCTTGCGCTAGTCGGATGCAGAAGTTGCCTGCAGCATGGTGCGGCTTCTGGGCGCGGTGCTCTTGGAGCCCTGCTTCGACGTGGCTGCTCTTCGCTTCTCAGCTTTCAGGTCTCGGTCGCGGGTCTTTCTGAAAAGTGGGACCCCGGTACTTGAGGCTGCAGCGTACGGTGCGGTGCGACTTGGAGAAGCTTCCGGCAGAGACACCATCGGTGACCTTGCCCAATGGTTGGAGGCACGGAGAGCAGTGAAGCTGTTGCTTTCAGTTCAAGGTTTTTGTTGGAAAACCACAAGCATCTCTACAGAGAATGGGATTGCAATCAGGTCCAGGAGTCCAGTACCTGCTTCATGCTGGCATGTGTCTTCATACTGGACCAGGTTTAGGCGCGTTACTGCAGTGTGTGGTTCTGATCTTGCTGAGTCTGCAACGGTCCCAAAAACTACGGGTGAGGTGGGCTGGCAAGTTGGCTGTGCTGTGCAGAGGTTGCAGCGCCATGCTTCATGTTATCCAGGATCATGGTGGCTCTGTCGAAGGGCTTGCCGTGGCCGACGTCCCGGGCCGTGGCCGCGGTCTCCTCGCCGCAACAAAGCTGGCGCCTGGGCCCGCGACTTCAACAGGGTCGGGCTCCTTGGAATTGTGGTTGTACTTGGATGAAGGAGGACAGACATGAGGTCATGAGGTCTTGTTATTGTTTGCTGAATGGTGCAGGAGAAGTAGGAGAATTGAAGTGTTAGATCGCGCAGGGCGCTGCATGCAAGACATGACATGTGCCGTTTTAGAAGACGCATGTCAGGTGCCGAACCGACGGCTGATCTCTGTGCCATCCCAGTGCGTGCTGTATGAGCGTGCCTGGGCAGAAGCAAGAAAAGTGACGAGTCCAGCCGACACGACGGGTCAACGGACAGGTTCAGGGGTTTGGGGGCTTCGGGGGGTAAAGTGCAGGAAGCATTGCTCATGATCTGATTCCGAGGCCATGTCAAAGACGAAACTGTGGGGATGCAAAGACTCGTCTCCTACCTCCATGCCAACGAAACAGCTCAGGCCAGGAAGGGAACTCGACAGGGGTCCGCAATGTCCGTGATTTGCTAATTTTGTTGCTTTCCCAATTTTGTTTGCATCCGCCCAATATGGCGTCACCTTTTGACAGATATCTTGAGTAGGCAAAGTCTCCAATGGTTGTCTTCACTACATCGTCTAGCATTTGTTCCCTCCACCCTTTGTGCCTCAACTCGCGACTGCATGTTGAGGTAGAGTTGCGGGCCACGGGTTGCCTGAAAAGTTGAGAAGGCTTTGACTGATTGCTTGGAGCTCCTTGGAAGGACATGGTATCCAACAAGTTCTTGCTCTCCGCGCCTGGGCGACGTCAGCTTGAGCCCAGCAAAGATGCACAAGATGTCGCTGGAAGGTCATGTCAGTTTCGACTTATTGTAGTTAAAACTGCAGCTTGCCCTGAGCAGTCATGCGGACATCACTTGCTCACAGCAAGGCTTGGCATCCAGTGATTTTATTTAGCCTTGCAGTTCTTGTAGTCGGGAGTACGGCACGTCATCAAGACATACTAAACTGGGTTCTTGCTAAGGGATT